ATGTTTTCCTCCAGTTTGCAAGCTAGGAAGCAGCTAGATTTTTGTTCTTGAAGTTTAATAAATTATTCACACTGCCACACAAAGTAGAGCAAGAAGCATATATCGTTCGTCCTGTGGAAAGCACAGGGCTGAGAGGTCGGACTGGTGGTGTGTTGGTGGTGGTGCGTGTTGGCAATCATCAGTGGGCGGTGCCTCACTTGCCGGCTGGCTGGCCGGGTTCGTTTGTTCCCAGGAGGATCCAGGATCATACTTCTGACGCAAAATACACTTCAGTTGGTTCATCTACGTTACTGCTGTTTTTTCTACTTCTGTAGCTCAGACTACAACATCTACTGACACCCATTGCAGCCTGGATAATATGAATTAAAGAAAAAATAGCTATTATTCCTTATTGGCTTTCGAGTCTTTTTGTGTATTGAGATGATTATCATATTTTAGTGAAAGCACCATACCTGTAATGATCACGCAGCACCTAGGAAATGGGATATCAGGTCTGACCCGAGTAAGGAGAGGGGGTAGCTCCATGACTTCGAATCAGGATACATTCATTATCAAAGGACTGCCTTGTAGGGTGTAGCGATACGACGGTTTTCGTATACAATGAAGCTGTGTCATACAATAAAACTCGGAGTATTTTTTTTCAGATGGAGAGATAAACACTTAATGAGGAAGTTACTGTATCGAGCCACTCGTTGCTAGCACCGCTCTCACGTATGCATTCAAACTGCGTTGCTGGATTCATTTATTCGCTGTTACACTTTGTAGTTGTAAGCTAAGTGTATGTTAAGTCATAGGCCTTGCCTAGTACTGGCCGGTAAGCCTAAGACCTCAGTACTCTACTTATTCTCACGGTCTTACCACCACTTTCTGTCTATACCTGTTGTGTGTAAATTATTATTATTATAATCAAAAAGAAGCGCTAAGCCACAAGGGCTATGCAGCTGTTGTGTGTAAAGGGCAACAAAAAAAAGGTTGTTAATTCATTATAGGTCACCTGTAGGTTATCTGCAGTCGCTTCTGGAGGTCATCGTCATCTCCGGCCTGATCGATCAGGCTATTATTATGATATACAAGCAAAAGCGTTTGTCCTGATTATTTTAAACTATAAAAAAATCTGTCGATTATTACATTTTATACAACAAAGGAACTTAAGACCAATTCTGGATATGTCTTACATGCATATAGGACTTCAGAAGTGGGAAAAAGACAGTCCACTACTTAAATCAAACGTAGGACAGCTAACTGATAATGACGAAAGTTTATTTTTTTCAATTTTCACAATTATTTCTTGAGTGTATACATATAAAACAAATTATAAAAAAAAGATGGAGAGCTAGATGAAAACAGAATTCACAGCGGCACATTCACTCGCTTCATGCTTCTTGTGTAACACGTAGTAAATATTATGAGTAACCAAGTTGCTGGATCCTGACCACAGTCACTACTGCTGTTCTTACCACTCTTGTTACTGGTACCAGCGATCTTAACCTGTTACTAGTGCCATTACTGTTACTGGTACTACTACTTGCTGATGCTTCTGGTGCTACTGTTACTGGTGCTACTACTGCTACCGGTGCTGCTACTATCACTGGTGCTACAACTACTATTTCTACTGTGATCCCTGCCACTACCATTCAGTCATGGTAGTGGCAGGGGAAATATAGCTAGATATAATCCCTGCTACGTAACTTACATAGTTTATCCATACATTTCAGTCGCACTTAAATACGTTAAATAAAAGAGAATTTACTAGTGTCATAATATTTGGAAGTATCCATAATACATATATACATTTTTAGACATTGTATCATAGATTACGCATGTAGTGTCCAGTGTCCGTTTCCAGGTCATGATTTAAGATGAGCGTAATTAACAACTAATAAAGAATACAAGAGAAGTAAATGAGTTGTATTATTTATAGACGAGTGTAAAGTGGTGTAGCTGATGAGTGTGTGTGTGTTAGTTACTGTGCGTGTGGGGGGGGGGTGACCAAGCAACACAGTCAACACAGTATGTGGTATGTCAGAATTAATACGACGTATAGCAGCTATAATACAATATTTTAAGCCAACAATATAAAAATATCAGGTGTTAAAAAAAGAGATAACATCATAAGTTTAGTGCAAGGATATTGCAGTGTTTGTGTCTGGGTTATGTGCACAAAGCAGCAGGATATATGCAGCGAGGTGTCTAGCTCTCGGTATACATACAATGAGTTTACCTTCTATTTTTTTCGGATTAAAGTATTCTTGATTGGTGGTATGCAAGTGAAATACAGTCTGTATAGTAGTGTGTCATTGATGTCAGCAAGGCCTGTATACCTTGTACATATACTTGTAGAAATAGATATTATTATTATTATTATTATTATTATTATTATTATTATTATTATTATTATTCACTCGATATCCTTTACATCTGAGAAAGCAAAGAAACATCTCCTGATGTATATACACAAAGATTTAGTTTAATAACTATTTTAGGAATTAAAGTGTTGCGAATCTTCTAGTGTGCTAGTGGGCTGCAGCTTTAAAGGAAGTGCATTGACAGGCTTTAATCACACTCTAGTATGAACATCAGTTGTTGCAGGGTTCCTAGGTAAAAGTGAGCCCTGCAACACATTACCAAGAGTCCTGCAACGCATCACCATGAATGCTGCAACACATCACCATGAGTACTGCAACACATCACCATGAGTTCTGCAACACATCACCATGAGTTCTGCAACACATCACTCTGAATGCTGTCATAAATGCTGCAACACATCACCATGAGTACTGCAACGCATCACCATGAATGCTGCAACACATCACCATGAGTTCTGCAACACATCACCATAAATGCTGCAACACATCACCCTGAATGCTGTAACACATCACCATGAGTACTGCAACACATCACCATGAGTACTGCAACACATCACCATGAGTACTGCAACACATCACCCCTGAGTTTCTGCAAACATCACCATAGTACTGCAAAAACATCACCATGAATGCTGCAAACACATCGCCATTGTTTTGCCACACTCCCCCATGAGTACTGCAAACATCCCGGAATGCTGTAAAACATCACCCTGAAGCTTAACCTTTACCATGAGTACTGCACCAACACTATGAGTTCTGCAACACATCACCATGAGTTCTGCAACACATCACCATGAATGCTGCCACACAACACCATGAGTTCTGCAACACATCACCATGAGTTCTTCAACACATCACCATGAGTGCTGCAACACATCACCATGAGTCTGCAAACATCCTGAGTACTGCAACACATCCATTTAGTACTGCAACACATCACCCTGGTTCTGCAAACACATCACCCTGAGTACTGCAAACATCACCATGAGACTGCAACACACACCTGAATCTGTAAAACATCACTGATTGCTGTAACACATCACCATGGTTTCTGCAACACAACCCATGAGTCTGCCCAAAAACATCACCATGAGTTCTGCAAACAAAATCACCATGAATGCTTCCACACAACACCATGAGTTCTGCAACACATCACCATGAGTTCTTCAACACATCACCATGAGTGCTGCAACACATCACCATGAGTACTGCAACACATCACCATGAGTACTGCAACACATCACCATGAGTACTGCAACACATCACCATGAGTCTGCAACACATCACCATGAGTACTGCAACACATCACCATGAGTACGCAAACAATCACCATGAGTGCTGCCACACAACACCATGAGTACTGCAACACAACACCATGAGTACTGCAACACATCACCATGAGTACTGCAACACATCACCATGAGTGCTGCCACACAACACCATGAGTACTGCAACACAACACCATGAGTTCTGCAACACATCACCATGAGTGCTGCCACACAACACCATGAGTACTGCAACACAACACCATGAGTTCTGCAACACATCACCATGAGTGCTGCCACACAACACCATGAGTACTGCAACACATCACCATGAGTTCTGCAACACATCACCATGAGTGCTGCCACACAACACCATGAGTACTGCAACACAACACCATGAGTTCTGCAACACATCACCATGAGTGGACAATCAATGTTGCGGTACTGATAGAAAGTTGTTGATGTGCTGGAGACGCCGCCTGCCCCACCCTCTGTCCGTCCTGGGAATAAAATCCCCAAGAGATTCATAATTTGGCCTTGCCTGCACTCCCTGGAGTTCCAAGGGCACGTGTACTGTGTCGTCACACTGCCTTTCACTTCATTACAAACAGGACAAGCATTGTCGGATGCTAAAATAAACCGATTGGCGTTATTATTGGAGTTTAATACGACTGTACTGCCTACGTGACGTGGGTCAGGAAGTTCACCCCAACTGGGGAATCTCTTCCCACCTCATCACACACACTTATCTTGGCATTTAGTGCACATCTGGACATTTTTTTGCTAATACAAAAGGACCTTGACAATTAGGATGCATATACCTTACTCTAAATTAATGAAAAAATGGGCTACATGTAAACAAACGAGTTTTGGACAGGAGAGCCATCGATCGTTTTTGGAAATCAACTGATACATTGTGACAAGCAGCGTTCACTTTATGGCGTGACCTGCAGATTATTTGCCGATTATCTCTGTTAGATGAATGTATCTGATGCAGGAAAACTTACGAAGAAGAGAGTAAAGAGAAGGCCTTACCCTGAAGAACATGTGGTGACAGGAAAAGACGAAGTGACAGAATAGAGCTGTGTAGAATCCTTGAAGCATCTCTGGCAACACTCACCAAATACGTGGGGTAAATGTGCCAGAAGTTATCAGAATCTTTCACATGTTTTGTCAGATAATCAGTTTACTTTATATAGATATTTTAGCTTTATAACCCAAGAAGTGAGTTGTTACCATACTTAAATTTACATGTTTCGAAAATATCCATAATGATTTGCTTTGTATAGTAACCAAAAGGTGGTTAAAATTACCTTACATGGCAGTGTTTACATACGTGTTGTGATCTATAATATGTGAAAACTTTCGGAGAATTGGCCATGCTTCCTGGCCCGGTATATAAGGGGGTGCGGCTGTGTTCGTTGCACAAAGTACGTCACAATCTGTCCCGTGTAAGATGTCTCAACGCTACGCACGCGCTCTTCTCTCTGGAGCATCAGCTCTTAGAAATGCCACAGCTTACCAGGTATGTACCTATATTATTTACGTAAAGTGCTAAACCCGTGTGGGCTGCTCGGCGCGTTGATTAAAGGCTTGATCATCATCCTGCTTAGAGACTTTTCTTTCATCCAGTCAGAGCTTATCTCTGGTCTTATGTACGCAAATTACATTTACGGTATATATGTATGTATATATAATATATATATATATATAATATATATATATATATATATATATATATATTATACACAAACGTGGTTTATGTATGTGCGTATATAAAGCAGCGTTTTGTGGACTTGTATTCTTAAAGTGCGTTGTTCCAGCAGTGTTGCCTAAAAAAAAAAGTTACCGAGACATAACGCAGTTTGTGTGGCTTCCTGAATATTATAGCTCGTGGGTAATATTTATATAGTGTACCAGCATCTTAAAACTTAAAATTGTCTAGTGCCTTAGACATCAGTTCATCTTTTGTTTGGGGATCGTTATTGACGGTTCCCTGGAAGAGGTTTATGCAAGACTTGTAAAGACTTCATTTTTTTTCAGCAGTTTTTCAGTTTATAAACTAAAGAATTTTTATTAATTAAAAAAATTGAAAGGTTAATTATGTAACCACAAAACTTTCATTGTTTGTATTATACATACTAACACGCATATAAATGTACGTGTGACATCTTCACACGTGCATGTTTATGTATATATAAATAAAATATTTTTAAATGGTACACACTTTTTTAAACATTTACAACTTAATCTTTCATATTTCTTTGTTTTCACAGGTGAAGCGGCAGACACACCTGTGTGCCCATAGTCGCAGTTTGACCCTGGCTGCCGCCGCCAGACACCAGCTGGCCAGGGCAGAGGCTCCTCATCCAGGTAACTTTACCTTTTATCACTACCTGTTAAGTACTAGCACTTTAAAACGCTTGAAATACATCTTAATACCTTGCAATTGGCTTCAAATTATGCTAATCTTGTATTAGCAACCATACATTCACACACCCTCTTTCTGATGTTAACAGGTAGTGGTGTGGTGGCTGCACTGACCGGCAGTGACGCACTGCAGGTCACTTTCTGTGACGGTCGCACCAGTGAGATCCCCTATGCCTGGCTACGAGACAATTGCCAGTGCCACAAATGTGCCTCCTGCAGGGGCCTCGCTACACATGTCAACGAGTTTCAGGTCGTCGCCCTCCCAGATATTATCCAGGTAAATAGTGTTTTTTTTTTTTTTTTTTTTTTTTTTTTTTTTTAACTTAAATTTTTTTTTTCCTAAATCACTAATATTTTGATAATGGGTAAAAGACTGGTTTACGAAGTTACTTGTACTGACAACTTCCTCTTCTCTCCTTCAGAGCAATGTGTTTGGCGTGGTGGTAGACTGGAATGATGGACATATCAGCAAGTACCCAGGGAAGTGGCTGCACCAGGTGGCCCACACTTTCAGCACTCGCTGAGTGGTAAGTACTGTACCATTCTTACACTTGAGTCTTTGCGTTCGTTAGGCTCTTGGTGAATAAATAATTTGGATCTCAATTTCTTGCCATCAATGGTCCATGTGGAGTACCTGCTGCCAGTGTTTCCTTCCCTTATCTTCATTCCCCCCCCCCCTCTTTTTTATATATTTATATTATATGTATATATATATATATATATATATATATATAATATATATATATATATATATATAGCTTACGTACATTAACTTGGTCTGGCAATGTAACTTCTCTAAATTCTTTTTAGCTCGATAACTATTTTCATAGCTGTTTTTTTTTTTTTTTTTTTTTAATTCTCGGCTCTTAATTTTACCTACACTGTTTAATAAGCTCTTGAAATACGTTTTTCTGTCATAGTAAACATAAATGAGTATGTTAAAAGTAATTATGGCTTGTTTTTTTTACAGAATTAAATGGTCCAGCACTGGGGATCCTGTGGACATAGGTGCCGCCACCCACTGCTGATTGCTGCTCATTTGCCTTCTTACGCCGACTTCGAAGGTCATTGGAGGTCATCTGTGCTGAAGAGAGGATCATCTACCTGATGTAGACAGCTTGGAGGTCCTTCCCCATGGAGCTCCAGCAACCATTCTTTTGCACGCTTGTGGAGGAAACTTCACTTAAGTTTCTGTCTCTTATGATTGCCGTTTGAATTTCATCTGGAGAAAAGTTAAGTCTTACTCCTTGGATATAGGATTTTTAGTGGTACCAAACGTGTGCGTTTTTGTACTATTATCTTACGTTAAGAGAATTCACTGGAAGTGAAAGGTTCAGTACTAAATATCGCTTGGTGCCATGAGTAACACTGCATTTCATGCCAAGGTAAGACTCTGCGGCTGGGGTACCCCAGGGAGTGTCCTGGGACCCTTGCTTATTCCTCACGGCTTTTTAAGATCTTGTAGGCCGTGGCTGAGTTACCGGCAGCACAAGAGCACTGGTCTGGTTCCCGGTCTTTAAGTTGAAAGACCGGACCTTGTCAAATGTCCTGGACAGGCATTTGCTTTGTTACAATTTAAGTTATTTGTTTTGCAAATTATTTTTGTATATTCAATTTTTTTCATAAAAAAAAATATAACCTTACTGTTTGTCTTTTCTTTTGAGCCACGAATTTGGAACTTAATATATTATCCAGGATATTATATTAAACACTTAAGATCCCAAAAAAGTAATTAAGTGCTTTATTTTAAGTTTCGAGAATCCAATCTCGAGGAAAGTGTCTGCTCAAGGGAGGTTCCTTGTCGCCGATGAGGGGCTCTTGGTCTAGGGAATTGGATTGCTCCAGTTCCTTGAATTAAGCCTGAATATCTTTCATCCCCTTCCCCCACAGGCGCTGTATAATCCCTACGGGTCTAGCGCTTTCCCATGATTTAAATTCGAATAAAGAATGATGCCGGTTAGCGAACGTCAACCCTAGAGTGGTTCCTTGAGGCTTGTGAGGGACTCCTGATGTAGGGAATTTGAATGCCTTCTATGATCCCTGTGGGTTCCAAAAACATGACTAGCTTTACTTGCGTCATCAGTGCTACATAAGAAAGGAGGAGCACTGCAGCAGGCCTGTTGGCCCATACTAGGCGAGTCCTTTACAATCATTCCCACTAGTGCCCTTTCTCTTCCCTGCTCAATTGTTGGTGAGGGGCTCTTGATTTAGGGAATTGGATCTGTGCTCCAGTTCCCCGAATTAAGCCTGAATGCCTTCCACATCCCCCCCCCCAGGCGCTGTATAATCCTCCGGGTTTAGCGCTTCCCCCAGAACGTTGTGTAGCTTTAAAAATAGGTTGGATAAATACACGAGTGGATGTGGGTGGGTGTGAGTTGGACCTGATAGCTTGTGCTACCAGGTCGGTTGCCGTGTTCCTCCCTTAAGTCAATGTGACCTGACCTGACTAGGTTGGGTGCATTGGCTTAAGCCGGTAGGAGACTTGGACCTGCCTCGCATGGGCCAGTAGGCCTGCTGCAGTGTTCCTTCGTTCTTATGTTCTTAAAGAGCTCTAGAGCAAGGGAAAATGGAGCTCCTTTCCTCGGATCTAACATTGCCTCTCATACCCCCAAGTGCTGTACAACCCTCTCCGGGTCTAGTGCTTTTTCGTGAATAAAATACTGTTAATTAGCATTGTAACTTTCCTATATCCTTTAAATCTGAATTTGTCCAGCATATCGGTGGGCTAATTTTTAGTGAAGTATTTAGACAGTTGTCATAATTTAATACCCCTCGAGGGAGGTTCCTTCATGCTGGTGAGGGGCTTTTGGTCTAGGACCTAGGTCGGGGAACCGGGTAAATTACCCCAAATGGGGTAGGTGCTCTTCGCACCTACTCCTAGGTTGAGGGACTGATTACTTCATCTTCTGTACATAGTTCTACTGTCTTCAAGTTATGTCCTGGAATTTGTATTGATAAAGCCACTGGATGGCGAAACGTCTACAATAAAGATACCCAGATGTTGCACATGTGTCTTAATCTCAAAAATGAAAATCTCGGGGGTAATGAAGGTATAATGTTTGTCAGGAAACACCCGTCAAGGAAGGTTCCTTGATGCTGGTGAGGAGCTCTTGATCTAGGGAATTGGATCTCTGCTCCAGTTCCTTGAATTAAACATGAATACATTCCACATCCCCCACACAGGCGCTGTATAATCCTACAGGTTTAGCGTTTCCCCCTTGATTATAATTGTACATGTATGACATAAAATACCGATAAGATGAGAATTAGACGCATGTGCAACATCTGAAGTGACTTGCAGACGTTTTGCCATCCAGTGGCTCTATCAATACAAATACAAGGACATAAATGGAGGACAGTAGAACTATATACAAAGGATGAGGTAATTAGTCACTCAGCCCTAGAGCTGGTGAAGAGCACCGCAGTCGTATGACCTACTTCCACTGGAAAATCCCGCCTACCAGTGACAATGCCTTCGTCTGCTACACGTCCCTTACCAATGGAAATATAAACACAAATGCGGTACAATGTGATCCTCCATTGACAACGTTTCACCCACACAGTGGGCTTTTTCAAGTCACACACGGATCTACCGTGTGTGACTTGAAAAAGCCCACTGTGTGGGTGAAACGTTGTCAATGGAGGATCACATTGTACTGCATTTGTGTTTATATTTCCATTGTGTCGGTATTTTATACCATTTATTTCCAACGTCCCTTAACACCTGACGCCAGTATATAAGCACCAGCCTCTTCACAACTATTGTGCTCTACACCAACTCCAAGACTGAGGGACTGATTACCTCATCTTTTGTATATAGTCCTACTGTCTTCCAGTTATGTACTTGAATTTGTATTGATAAAGCAACTGGATAGCGAAACGTCTACAATAGATACCCAGATGCTGCACATTGCACAAGTGTCTAAATTTTTAGTCGTATGATGACCCACAGCTGGAGCTTTTGGTCATCTGAGCGACGATTTCCTCTGGCTTACCGGTCCACCTCTTTAAAAATCATGACTGATTATAGCCATTAATTATTGTTAGGAGTTAGTTAGTTAAAGATTAGCCGGTATTCTCCCGGCCCGGGCCTTGTCCAAGTGGTGGCCCGGCCTTGGCTCCCTCTTTAGGGAGTGTCTGAGACCTAAGTCTCCCATGGGAGGAGGCATAAGTACCTCCTCATCTTTGGGACCAACTGTCCCCAGGCCTAGCCACAAGCTAGGCCTCTCTGGTCTGCCATCCCCGCCCCAAGGAGGCAAATGGGAATGACAGTCTTATGAGCTAAAGGCTCGGGCTCAGGCACCTACCCTACCCTAGAAGGGTTAGGCATGGTGTCGATGATTGTTAGGAGGTAATGAAGACTCAAACATATAAATAAAACTGCACAAATTTTACTTAAGAGGCAAATTATGAAAGTTATATTTTTTCAAACGAATAATTTTTAGTTTCTTAATAAAATTAAAAATCTAATTTCTATGGAGCATTTCTTAAGTTGGCAATAATGTAAAACGGGTGCGGATTCAAGTCTACCAGGGAATTTCCTGTACACAAATTTGTTTTGGGGTGATACCCAAAAAAGTTCCCCGACCCCATACAAGCGTTGTCCTGTGATGAATGGTTTGAAAAACCGACAAGTTGAAGATTGAGACATTTATGCAGCATATGGGAATCTTTATTCAGGAAACGTTTCGCCATCAATCTTGTACAAGATTGATGGACTGAACACATCGACTCCAGGTTGAGGGACTGATTACCTCATTCTCCTCCTCTCCTTACGCCTTCCTCTTTGTATTGGACTGATGAAGCCACTGTGTGGCGAAACGTTTCCTGAAAAAAGATTCCCATATGCTGCATAAGTGTCTCAATCTTCAACTTGTCGGTTTTTCAAACCATTCATCACAACTGTCAGACACTGCAGCATCATGGGATCTTGTTACAAAGAATTCTTCAACACTTGTTCAACCTTTGGACGAAGACCTACTTCGACTAGTGGATGGTACCACTATGACCCCGCCTCCACCTGCTTCACGTCACCTCACTACAGTATATAAGCCACGTCTACGGCCCTATGCTGTACATTCTACAAGATTGATGGACTGAACACATCGACTCCAGGTTGAGGGACTGATTACCTCATTCTCCTCTCCTTACGCCTTCCTCTTTGTATTGGACTGATGAAGCCACTGTGTGGCGAAACGTTTCCTGAATAAAGATTCCCATATGCTGCATAAGTGTCTCAATCTTCAACTGTAGCATGTCCTTCTTAAGCCCAAACCCACTAACAAAAATATTTGTCCAACCCATTTCCAGTGCTATCCAAGGAATAAGCTTTGATGAACCTGGTAACTTGTGTGCAAGTCCCACACAGTTCCAATCCCTCTCACTCCTATATTTATCTAAGTTGTATTTGAAGCTATTTAAGGTTTTGGTTTCCAAGACTCTACTAGGTAGACTTCCACTCCTCGACTACTCTTTCCAAATCTAAACTTATCTAATATGAATCCATTATTTCGACTTTTCTTAAAGGGATATCTTCAGAACCTTATCTCTCTCCTTTGTTAATGCCGGCTGCCACTTGTATATTTCAGTCATGTCTCCTCTCATTCTTCGTCTTGCAAGAGAACGTAGCTTAAGGAATTTCAATCTTTCTCCGTATGGAAAATTTCTTATGCAATGGAATAATTTTGTCATACTTCTCTGGATGTTCTCTAACGAATATATATCCATTCTGTAGTATGGAGACCAAAACTGAGCTGCATAATCTAGGTGAGGCCTTACTAATGACGTATTTAGTTGACTCCTGTAGCTTATACTTCTTGGTATAAATTCCAGTATTCTGTTTGCTTTATTACGTATGCTAGACATTGTTGTCTTGGCTTAAGGTTCCTGATTATCTTTACTCCAAAGTCCTTTTCGCATTATGTATGACCAAGTTCTTATTAACATTCCCGAGCTTCAGGAATTTGCAGTTACCTACAGTGAAGTACATCTGCCACTTTTTTGACCACGACACGAGCTTTTCTAAATTCCCCTAAAGTTCTGTGGCATCTTCATCTGAATCAAGTCAGCGAATTTGCTCATATCACTTGTTATTCCCCCGCCAAGGTCATTAACAACGGTCCATTATTCTGTAATAACACGACCAGAACGCACCGTGTATCCTAATATCTTACCAAGTTTTAGTATATCACTGTTACCACTATTTATTCTTTAAGGAAAACTCGCTGTACAAGAATGGTATACAATACCGACAAGATGAAATTGAGACATATGCAACATCTGGGTATCTTTATTGTAAACGTTTCGCCACAGTTCTCCTGTCTTCAAGTTATGTCCTGGAATTTGTATTGATAAAGCCACTTGGCTTGTACTCGTTGGAACGCAGGAGGGAGAGATATATCATAATCTACACTTGGAAAATCTTGGAAGGAATGGTCCCAAATCTGCACACAGAAATCACTCCCTACGAAAGTAAAAGACTGGGCAGGCGATGCAAAATGCCCCCAATAAAAAGTAGGGGCGCCATTGGTACACTAAGGGAAAACATAAGTGTCCGGGGCCCAAAACTGTTTAACAGCCTCCCATCAAGCATTAGGGGAATTGCCAATAAACCCCTGGCTGCCTTCAAGAGAGAGCTGGACAG